GTCGATCATCAGATATTGTCCAAGATTAACCTTCAGGGTGGATTTAGCTCGCTCACACCAAGGACCTATCCACATCATCATTTACCCAGAATGCTTTGTGTGTAAATAAAATGGCTCCGTTCGTGTTAAAATATATTTTTTAAAAATTACAAAACTAAACCGCCTACAGTATTTTTACAGTCTTTATTTTACTGTTAAAATAAATGTTTAATCGAACAAAGTCTATCGTTACAACTAATCATGGGTCCCTTAAAAGGAGTTTGCTTGTTTTGACGACCCCTGAAGGGAGCAGACAAAAAAATAAAAAATAAAAAGCTTTTTCAGCAGAGAAAATCTAACTTTTTTGCAAATAAGCCACATTTTTTATGTGCATGCTTGGTTGTGCAGAAAGAACATTACACTGAGCAGATAGGGGTGGGGTGTGGGGGAGTTTATACTCATTCGTAGCCCAGGAGAGTGCTGCGTCTCCAGGCAGGAGGAGCTCCTGGCTGCAGCTACTGACAGTTTTATTGTGACATAAACAGGTAGACAAAAAGATAGTCAGGGGGAGAGAGACGATGTCCTCAAAATAAAAAAAGGTGTCAGTGTCTCTTCAGTGCATCTGTTAACACCAGTGTTGAGTTTAAATCCATCAGAACAGAGCATTAAGTCTCCTCCATCTTGTTACAATGAAACAAACCTGCAGCGGAAACTTCAAAAAGGTTCATTTCTACAAAACAGATTTGACAACAAAGAGAAAAATCTCCATCACAATGAGTTTATATTACAAACATGTACACGAAGATTAAATAAACACCTCGTTTGAGAGTTCCTTCAATTTAAATCAACAAAACGCATTTATTAACCTTTCATCATTTTATTACACATATCCTCCAAATTCCACTTTTTTTTATCACTTAATGCATTTTTTTGTTGTGCAGCTGGAGTCTATAGGAAGCAGAAAAGTTTAATTTGGTCTCTCCTGGTGCTGCAAAGATCACTTTATTTAAATATCTTCTCTATTTTCTATGACGTTTTCTGAAATATTACGTCTAATTATTTGAAACAAACTTCTAAATAAGGTCTTCCCTTGTTGACATCTTTTATTTAATTTGTAAATAAAACACTTCTGCGCAGCTATATAGTCCTAAACCCCTCTATAAACTAGAATGAACCAAAGCTAGAGGATGGTGGGTGTGAAGCGCCTCGTTGGGATTTAAAGAGACAGCTTCAAAATGAGTTGATCTGAGACACACCCCAGAAAAGGGGCGGGGCTTGTGAGCATTGCAGTTCCACTGTATATAGATCCCAACTAAAGGATTTAATAGTGAAAAAGAAGGATTTAAAAGCATGCGTCTACTTGAAACTACATCTTATGGTAATAAAAACAAA